GCTTTGTGCTCCTGTGGCCCTCAGGCTCGGCAGAGCTTCGGTAGAATCTGGCTCGTCACAGAGACTCGGTACAAGCCTATCTATGTAGCTTTGTGTTCCTGTGGCCCTCAGGCTCGGCAGAGCTTCGGTAGCCTCGCCTGTGAAGGCTTCCGATACCCTGGCTTAGGCTTGGATCCCACTGGCCGGCGGCTGGAAACTGGTGTTGGCCATAAAAAATGGCCGACCGTGGTTGGAAACATTCTTCCTCGTTTCATTGGGACCCCACCGCAGGCCGATAGTTTTGGCATTGGAAAAGTTTGGAAAAGCTCGGGCATACCCAAATAGGAAATTGCACCGGGGTGTTTCCCAAAGAGGTAAGCCCGTCGGGGGCTGTGGTCCATGGTCTGCTTGCGCAGCCAATGAAGTGTCTACAAAACGCCACCACATCCAGCCCGATCCTAGAAATTCGTTTCGATGCCCGCCCCCCTACTCATCTGGAGCCGTCCTTGGAAACTGTTTGGAAACTCGTTGCCACAAATTTCCAGGCCGCAAGCCGAGTAGAAACGCCCCGTCAGCTTTTCCACGACCTCTTTCCAAACGCAGTGGGATCCGAAATTCCTTTCCAGGCCGACTTTCCACAACGGTTTCCAACACCTGTGGGGTCTGAAAGACACTTCCTCGGAAAGAAGTTTCCAGGCCGCCGGCCAGTGGGATCCAAGCCTTAGGTCGACGCTCGTAGAATGTACGGAAATGTTAGGTCTGTCTCTTCTTATCTCATCCAATCCCGGTCCCGATCATGATCCCGATCTCAATCCCGATCTCGATCCCGCTCCGATGTGATGAGCGGGTTGATTGAGCAAAAGCCGCATGGGTGTGACCTTGGCGGTTCGGTTTCGGCCAAGGTCGCATTAGCCGCTCCGGTTGTGTTGACATTCCGTCCGCGGTCGTTGCGTGAGAGGCTTGATTGTTGTTTCTGTTGGACGGTTGTCGGTCGAGCCTAGTCTAGTCTAGTCTAGTCTAGAATAGAGCGCCACCATAATCCGCATCCATTCTAGACTATACCACTCTAGAATGAGCGGAGAAGGAGCGGCACCATTATCCGCATCAGTGCGGGGAATAGAGCGATCAGTCGACTCGCAAAAAAAAAAATTCTCAATCAGTCTATAGATTCATCAAGCAAGCAAGCAAGCAAGCAAGCAAGCAAACAAATGGCATGGGCCCTGCCTCCCTGTCGATATCGCTCTGAGGAGAGACTCACACGAGGGCATTCATGGACGTATCTGAGCCCTTTTATGGCCACGCCTGGCCGCACCTGACCGCAATACTACGTCCAGAGGGAGATTGGAAAAGTGTCAGTGTGTGAGTCTCCTGTGAATCCCCCATCGCCTCTTCCCGAGCGGCTCGTCTGTACAACTCGTTAAGATTGCCCACCCATGCCTCTGGATCCAAGCAACCTCCTCCTCCCCCCCCTCTTCCCATAGCACTCTAGGTCAGACGCCAACCCCTACATGTTCCTACACTTCTATCTCGCTTCTACTGTACAAAGGTCGAAGGGTCGCTCAGACTTGTCCTCCCTCCTCCCTCCTCCCTCCTCCCTCCTCCTCCTCCTCCCTACGCTCTTCAATTTTACTACCTGTTGCCGGCAAATGGTGCAAAGCGGTCAAGGTTGTTTAGCTGCTGGCTCAACACAGTACCAGAGAGAGAGAGAGAGAGAGAGAGAGAGAGAGAGAGAGAGAGAGAGAAGGGAGGGGGGGGGGGGGGGGGGGTGCTTCCCCCCCCCCCCCGCTTTCCGTCTTTTCTCCGCTCCCCCTTGCGCTACTGTTCTCATGGGACACAATGCACAAAGACAAAAAATAGGGCGATGTACCTTTCCCGTGTTCTAGCGGAAGATTCATTCTCATTTTTACCATTTTGCACATTTGTTGCGTAGTGGAGCAAGGAACAATTTTCAAGAGATCGATTGATCCCCAGAGGGATATTCCATACAGATGGCAAAATGCCAGGCGGCACCTGTACTGGGGTTCCATTTTTCTTTTTCTTTTTCTTTACCTGGAGTACGTCTTTTTTTTTTTTTTTTTTTTTTTTGAATACCTGAACGAGGGCTCGCAAAGCGCAAATCGGAGGACGAATATAAGCGAGGGGACGAACCTACCTACACACGATGTCACTGTCCGAATGAGGCTGTGAGTGTATACCGATGTCAGTGTATACTGATTTGTTTTCTATCCTTCGTTTTTTCTGATAGTGAGAGTTCCTGTATAGAGAAGATGTCGTTCTTCTTATTTTCATCCTTTTGTGCCCCTCCCTTTCCTCCGTCCTTCTCTTACCCGCCGCCTCCCTGGGGCTCTCCTTTGGCCCCTTCCGCCCCCTGACCTCCCCGGCTCAACTTCCTTCCAAACTGTCCCCCAAAAGGCAGTCGATTTCCCGCCCGCTTGTAGTAAAATATTTAGGCCTCACAATCTTCCGGTGGCTTACAAGTCTCCAGCAAGGGGAGGGGTGGGGACAATATCAAAGGGGTGGCGGGGGAAGGGAGTTGCTCTCTTCCTCCCTCCACCTCAGTGTGCGCCTGGAGCGGAGGGACAGCGGAATGCGAGAGAGAGAGAGAGAGAGAGAGAGAGAGAGAGAGAGAGAGAGAGAGAGAGTAACGTTAGCTCTTGGGGCTGAGGACCACCTGGGTCATGGGCGGAAGATGAGAGTTGGTTTGATGCCGTTGGCGGATGGTGCTTTTGGAGGAAATGAAGGGCCATCCATGAATGAATTCTAACTATTGGATCTTTTCTCTATCCTTTTTTTCTTTTTTGATGATTTTTCTTGGATCTCGCCTCCATGGTGTATTGAAAGGGAACAGATTCTGAAGCAGAGGTTGCGTACGACAATGGAATGGAAATTTTTAATGTTTGTTGACTACAGTGTGTAGGGGTTCGGCGTGGGGGCAGCAAAACTGAGCACAGGGGTGGCCTTTTTTTTTTGTTTGAGGCCAGCAACGACTTCTCAC